TTTATTGTTTAATTTACTTTGTGCACATTTCTTTTTTGTATTGTCCTACACTCCCCTTCCTTTTTTGATTGTAAGCCGCCCTGAGTCCCCTCAGGGAAAAGGGCGGCCTATAAATAAATAATTCCAATTCCAATTCCAACATCATTTTCTAATCACTTTTGGAAATTGCTTATTTAACCATCTTAAAGCTATTAGAGACCTTCAGAATGACAGATTAGATCTGAAGGGGAAATTTTCTTTTCTGAACAAAAGAAAAATTAACTATATTATCTAGTTTTCTTTCCAACTCTCTATAACTTCTGTCTTATTCTTGAAAAGTAAGAGTTATTTTTTCATTATTTTTTCTACATCTGCAGGCACTTATGTTATAGAACCTGCAATCATCTTAACTTCTTCTTTCACCCCCTCTTTCATTTTTACAAGTCTTTAATTTTTTTTCAAAAGCTGTCAATTTATTATTAAGTGATTTAGCTAAGTTACTGGACAAACATAGTTTTCATAGTTGTTCAAACATTTTCTGAAGAAAATCTGGTTTAATTCCTCTCTCTAGCAATCCTCTCCTTCCTCTATTTATTATAGCCACTTTTCTCATGGTTGCCATTATGATACTATCATACAAAAATAAAAAATGTCTCAAAAAGAGAAAGACCAAAAACAACTTTTCCTTCCTTTTTGTCATTTTGTCTTCCCGTGTCCTTAATGTTTACATACATCTTAAAATGGCACTCTGCAGTTACAGTGAGAATCACAGTCTGGCTCATATTACTCTTATATTTTGATCTGTGAAATTCACCAATTGTCTGGACTCTTTAATAGCAAGCAAAAACATTCTTCCAGTTAATTGTTTTTTTAATTCAAATTTGTTCAAAAGCACTTTCACCAAAAATAATCTTTCAAAATAATTATCCATTTTATGCTTTCTTATATTCACTCCTTGCTAAACCTTTTGCAAAAAGCTTTTAAATATTTAAAATTCTTTTCCCCTTTGTAATACTAGAAAGACTGTTGACTCACTGTGGGATTTTCTTTTCCTGTCCCTCAGAAAACCTCTCTTTAATTGTAAATTAGTTATATCTGAAAGTGCTTTAAAAATGAGGCTCAGACTAACCTTACATCCCTATAGGTTGCATTACAGCTGTGATGGAAATCCCTCAACTCCCAGCCACTCAACTTACAAGCTGGCCACAAAACTCTCAATTCCTGCAGTTTATTCATGAACAACAGTTTCCTGAACATAAGTGAGTGATCTCACAATCTCTCCTTTTTCTGAAAAGAAAGTAGTGGCTAGAATTCATTGTCTGATTGTTAGCTCTGCCAAAATATTGTACCTGCTCTTTCAGGGACATCTAGTTCACCATACATCCTCATTTGAAGCTGACCATAAGTGGATGAAGTATAGAAAAGAGCCTGGCACCTTAGGGATATCTCATTCTTGGTAGAATTCAGTTCAGATCCCTGGCCTTTAATGAATATGTATATGTACAACTGAGAACAAGAGATAGGCTAGGGCAGGGGTGTCAAACTCATGTCACCATGGTGGCATCACATGATGTATCGGGACCCCCCCCCCCGACTTCACTAAACCAGGTGTGGGGATGGCCAGCGAGTGAGGCATATAGCCTACAGGCTGAGAGTTTGACAGCCCTAGGCTAGGGATTCATCTGAGCGTTTTTAAAATAGCTGACTGAGCTTATCTCTGCAGAGATACTTAAATCGTCTAGATTATTAGTGCTAGATAATGTCAACAGCCTCTCAAGAATTCATAATACATAAGCTATCTATAGGCCAACACACAATGCTGATCACACACTTCATTTGCTGGGATAGCCTTCTTTCAGAGAAGTGCGGTGAGCTTTGTGGCCAGTGAGGCAAGCGCGAAAGCCCCGCCGAAACCCCAGCGCTGCATCAGCCATAGAGCGGGACCAGGACCCACTCTATGGCGGACGCGGCACCGGGACTTTAAAGCCCTGCCACCGGGGCCCTGCCGCCACTTTAAAGCCCTGCCGCCCGGGCTTTAAAGTGGCGGCAGGGCCCCGGTGGCGTCCGCCATAGACCATTGTTAGTAGCCACATAGTAGCCTTCCATGCCTGCCGACTTCACCTGATGCCCAGAAAGTGCTTGCAGGCAGGCAGGCAGGCAGGCAGGCAGGCAGGCAGGCAGGCAGGC